GAGGCCTTATGTGACACCTAGTCACAAAGTAGATAGGTGAAGGTTTTGTCTCGTGATGTTGGTTTTTGTCAAGTTACGAGCGAACCCCAGAGAGATTTTTACCCAAATATCGAACAAAAACTACCAAAGAAGTGACAATTTTATTTAAAGCCATCTTTTGTGATAAGTCATTAGTTTACCTGCTGAAATGGCCCGCAGACTGTTCTCCAGTCCGCTATAAGCTTGGCGCGTTTTTGGCCGACGCCTTGAAGTTTTTTCAGTTCCTTGATGGTTCCATTGTTTAGCACCCTCAGAATTTCGTTGTCTGTCAAAGTAAAAAGGTATTGAACAACGATAAGTAAAATCAGCGCGGTTGTGTTGTTTCATTGTTGCACTTGTTAAAACACCCAGCCCCACTCATATCAAGTCTAGGCGTGTTACCCAGTCTCTCTCGTTTCATTTTAGGTGGCAAATGATATCAAGGTTTGTAAGGGATCACGGGATAAGTGCTGTGCATGCGTAGTAATGTGCCGAATTTTACGCACACACTTTCTCAAACAAGAAGGAAAACATTTGTGCATATCTTACAGTGTGTCTCCTGTAAATGAGGGTTTATCTTGACTTTGAAATTTTCGTCCACTGTCAAGGAGGTTTTCTGCGAAAGAGAAAACAGATACAACGTTTCCTTCGTCCATGCACTGGGACATGCATAACATCGAAATAATTGAAATTTGAATTGGAATGTGGAATCCTCAAGGGAGCATTTTAGTGCAAATAAGGCGTTGCCTTCCAGTAGCATTTGAAGTGCGCCATAAATGGTCACGTGGTGCCTTTTACCAGCTCTCTCGCGTTGCTTGTAACAAGCGCTAATCCCAAGGAACTGGGCAAGCTACGTTAAATGTTTCAGTCTCGAGTATTCTAAGGCCCAGGTGAAACGTCAAACTTCACGTGAGACGTACTAAATTGCATTTTGAGTCGATCCAAACGGGGAAAGCTCGACCGTTGGGTCAAACGTCGAACTTCATTCGAATTTAGATCGATCGTTCTATCCGTCTGCTTCAGACGGGTAGAACGTGTTGGTCGATCTAAATTCAGTCGGACGAACTCAGTTGAGTCAAACGTCAAACTTATCATGAACTTATTTCGCTCAGATCAGTTCGTCTCATATGAAGTTCGACAACTCGACCTTTAAATATTTAATTTTGAGTCTACCGGAAAAACTTGTATAAACTTATACTGACAATATTTCATTTAGTGAGCTCAAATATTATTAAAGCTAGGTTCTCACTTGTTTTTTGAACGGCAGAGAGATATCCAGAACTCCGTCTGAAGTCTGAGGAAGGTTTGACCAGATTTCATCAGACACATCTGATCTGTTAGCGTCTTTGAGCGGTAAACGAGCAAACCCTGACGCTTGATCAGAAAGCGGCGAGGTTTTTTGTGTAGTAGCAAGCCCTGTAAAGACACCAGAAAAGTAAAACACAAAGAGAGGACGTAAAGTCAGAGAGGAGCTTACAGGACACAGTGGTTACAAGTTATGAATGGTAGTCGCTCCTGGTACGCAAAACTTATTGACTATGTTTGAATAGCAAATCTCAGTCACTTATCTACATTACGTTTCGGCAATGATGGATGAAACTCGAGCGCGCGCTCCCAACATACTGAGCTGACCATCAAGCGATAGACGGCATGCCTAGCCAACGAGACTGAACCACTGAGCTGCGCTAAATAGCCTTTTTATAAGTAATAAATTATTCGCACATCGTCCTTTCACCCTTAGCTGTCAGAGTGTTTACTCAGTGAAAAAAAAAAAATCCGCCACCTCCCCTTCCCCCTGGCATACCTTTAGACAAGCTGCCTTCAGGTTCCGTCGTTGCTTGCGGAGCAGAGTGTTCGTGGGTGAGTCGCTCTAAAGCTGCCAGGCGATCTTGTAACTTCCTCTGTTCAACTCTAAGGGGACTGCAGGATTCAAACACGGTCAGAATCAGTGCGTCTAAAATACCTTGGTCTCCGCTCCTGTTAGCATATGGTTGCCATCCATGGCCAAAGCAAATATTCCATAACCTATCAGTCCCTCGTTTTTTTCCATTGACCAGTAAACAATGTTAACCTTTAGCGGTGATAACAAAATTGATCAAGTGACCGCCTGAAGACAGTATAACTAATTATTTACACTTTTTTGCATATACACTGTCCGCCCGAACATAAGCGCAAGGGTGAAAATACTAAAAGTAATAATTTATGAAGCGCAAATGACTTACCTTAAAATTCCAGCTGGGATGGCAAGCTTTTGAGCAAGGAGTGGCCTTTTTTCGGGCTGCATGTAAATAAAGCAGAAAGTTTATAGTTCAATTTCAGAATTCAAATTTCAAAATTCAGTTTCAAAAGCTCATATACAATTAGCAGATGATGTTTTTGTTGCGCATGGATGTTTCTTTCGTTGTACATGTATATCATAAGAGTTTGTTTATCAGCTCTCAATCGCGTCCAAATTCGATTTACGTGCTAATAGAGACTTTAGACGACCTGGAGGAAAATAGTGGCGAAATTTATCAGGACTACCATTGGTTTTTCTTTGCTACGATATGATTGGTCTGAAAAACTCGCGCCAGGTAATTGACCAATCAGATGCAAGACCAAAAGCAATCGCGACTTGGTCACGTGTTATTGTGGCTATTTTGGAAAAAAACTGCCGGCTCTGATTTATGCATAGCCAAGTAATTTTATAACAGATGCTGTCACATTAAACAATTCGGATTTTCTTGCAACCTTTGTTGCAATGCAAGTTACACAAGAAATTGCCTCGTGCAACACACCCTAAAAGAAACATACATTTTTGTAAGGAATTCTACTTTTCGCAAAGATTCTAAAAGTCAACGCTGCAACGTTTTCTAGACGAAGAGATTACTCACTAAGGAACATTTTGTGTTTGACTCGTAAGAGTACAACAAAATGACAAGATAAGTTGTAAGCCTCGAATGGACTTACTGGACATAGCTTATATATATGACTGGTTTTTAGGTTAGTTTATCATTGATTGTTAAGTCACGCGTACGCCGTCCCTGACATTTTAATAAAGACTTTTATATTAAGACTTTTATTTTACCTTTTGATGCTCTTGAGTAACTGACGAATCCAGTTTGAGGCGCTTACGCTAGAAGAATAACAGAAATAGCCTATTAGCCTGATTCAAGAAGCCACAGCGAAAGGCTGTCGCTCAAAATGTAGGCCGCAAATTTAACATATTACCGATTCCCCTCCTTCTCCACTAATACATGTATGTGACTACTTCTTTAAAATTTCATGTTGTTGTCTTATCTATCAATTCTGCTCATGCAATCGCGTTTTTTTTTTCTTTTCCGTTCGTATACAAACACACAACGGTTTCGTAAATTTCTCCAAGTTCTTTGATCACTCTTGAATCAATGTGCAAAGTGTCATTATTATCTACCTGATTCTGAAGTAAGGCTTCGTCAGCGGGTCTCTTAAACGCTACTGATTTGTCTGCAAATTTCGTAGCAAATCATGGCATTGATTAATTAAAATCACGAGTTGAAATCGGTAAACTACAAAACTAAATTAACAGCAATCAGTCTTACTGCTCTTAAAGTCTGAGATTCAACCAGAAAATTCCTTACTGATGACGTAGCTCAGCAGAGATCCCTATCGTGGCTGTGATTGGTCGTTGCTCGGTTTGAATTTTCGCGCGTAAGCAACAGCCAATCACAGACAGTACACAGATCTACGTAGAGCGACGTCATCAACATGTCATCATCGAAGTTTTCTCATGAGCGGGAGATGAAATGCGGAGTAAAACGATACAAAGGTAAGCATATAACGGAGATACATTGAATTCCAGTGAAACAACACTGAATTGTCAAAAGGGCAAAACAAAGAAAGAAAAGAAAACCTCTGCTTACAATACCCACTATTTAATGCTGTGAGAAAACCAGAACTGGGTTTATATCAATTTAATTCGAAAAGCGCTAAAAGACTGTCTCACGTCTTAACACTTACCTACAGATCGCCTCACAAATGGCTCATTAATGATCGTTCTCGACTTGGTAGCAAAGTTCAGGGTGTTGGTTGTATCTGCGTAAAATCTGCGTTCGGGCGCAATGTTGGCAATCATACATGCGTGAGCTGTGCCACCGAGGGAGTCCTGAAAATAGGTAAAAGAGACAGGAAAAAAAATGACAAAATGTCACACAAGCGACTCAGGAAAAAACGCTCTAAGCATTGGTGAATCTGTAGGGCGCTCTATCACTGGACGAAAAGAAATGTGTGGGAGCGGTCGTGAGAGCGTGGGAGCTAGACAAAAAAAAAATGAATAAACTGTGCAAGCTAGATTTTCGAATTTGTAAGTGTCGCGCTATCATAAGAAGCCCGGGAAAAAAAACTTTTATTTTTCAACTTACCTGGAGAAGACGTGTTAATTTGCTGTTCCTGTAGGGTATTCTGGACTGAAAAAAAAAACATTTGGGAGAGTAATTTTAATTCACCGATGTATTAAAAATACATTAGTTTAAAAGAGGCTATCAACATGTTCAAGACAAGCTATTAGATTTTGATATTGCTTTATATTTTCTTGGGTTTGTTGTAAGAGTTTTACTTCCCATTTTATCATTTCAGCCTCACAAAGAACAAGAAGCTGAGAACATTAAGCTCGTAGAAAACACTAAATGGAAAAGCGCCCTTTTTCTCCACGTTAATGTTACATGTAACTTCTCACCAGACCCTGGTTCAACGCATCCACGACTTGCCCGAGAGCAAACAACGAACCATTGATAGCACCGCTTTCTTTCAACCTAAAAATTAGAAAGTTTAATAATTGTAAGTACGATTAATGTCACAAAAGATATCATTCCTCCACAAAAAGTTCGGTGTCTCTTCTTCCTCCTCGCCCACCTCAAAGTCAGTGATATAAAGTCTTTCCAGATCGGCCAGCTTAGGACCTCTTACACTCATAACTTCACCAATTAACAAAGATCATTTTAGGGTGGACCACTGAATTTCCAGAAACCAGCAATTTACCCCACCCTTTCCCCCTCCCTCCAATGATTTTCCTATTGTAAACAGCTGGTGAGCCAATGAAAACGGAGATTGACAGAAGTAACGCAAAATGGATACAAGGATAAGGAGCAGATTCAACTTTAGTTTTAAAAATGGGATAAAATCAGGAGTATTAGCATAGTTCATTTAGTTTTAGGCCTCAGACTCATCAGGGTAGGCCTGGGATTTTTTCGAAGAAGGAAATCACATGACCCTGAAGACAACTTCTGCTAAGAGAACTTTAGTCACCACAGTCCTTTTCATACATGTAGAAACCATAAAATATCAAGTGTTACATTATAGAGCACCTTATTCCCTCATTTCCTGTTTTTCTATTGTCCTCTGATCCAGCCAGGTCAATAAGGTAAAACTTTCCACTGAGGTTTGTGAATGGTGCTACCTGCTGCTGTTTTTGAACCTGAAGAGAATTCAGAATTACATGTATTATCTAAAACCACAGGACCGCAATGCATGCAAACGAATATTGCTACAGTATTACAGTGACATAAACTACTTGAAAGAAAAAGGTCCTGACCAGTTCTCTCAAAAATGGTTTGTCACTGACTGATTTTTAGTAAGAAAAAAATGTACAGTGCAGTACCTTCATCAACACAATAGAATGGCTTCTACTAGAGTGCGGATTCAGCTTTGTAGCTGCAGTTTTCCTGAAAGATTATCACATTTAATACAACTTCCCTAAATTATTTTGTTCTATTATTTGCTAAATAGAAAAAAATGTAAAAAATGTTAAATATAATGTTCAGCAGGTCCTGTTCAATTCACAGCAAATTATTATTTAATGTCATTCATTTAACTTAAAACCTCATTCTTGAGACAGCAAATTATTGGTCATTTGGGATGACTAGCTATTTCATGTGTCCTGGTAAACCACTTATTGAAATTATGGATCAAAACTACGTGAATCTCCGGCAAGGGTCAAAGCCAACCCACTGATAGGTACACATCGTTGTTTGGTTTCAAGAAACTTCAATATCATTAGTCCAGATAAGCCAAGAAAATGCTTGTCAACCATCATTTCCTCTCAGTTATCATTTTAAATGTTCAACTTTATTTCCAAGTGATACATAGGCAGCAATTAAACATACAAACCTCTGCTGACTGGCCTTTTCAAATAAGGACATAAATTCACCCAGAGTTTCTATCGGCATCTGAAAAAATATTGATGTCTTGAAAAAGGCAAAATTTTCAGCATGTCACAAGCATAAGGCAAGGAAACAATCTGAGTCCATGATGGGATTCAAACCCATGACTTCCCATATACCCGTCAGGTGCTCTAAACCCAGAGCTACAGAGAGACTCTTGCCTTGGTGAGCTAGGCCATTTACTGGGTTCGTATATGACATGCATCCCACAAAAGGCACATACTGCTAGAATGAACAGTGCTCAACAAGTTACACAAGCCGTCATTAAGGCACCAATTCTGGAAAGAAATTCATTTATAATTATACATGTAAATATGTAACACTTTTTTACTATGAACTCAAGTTCAACTTTATGACATGTCTTATCAATTTTATACATGTATGACCTGCTGATATGGTATGCATTCTCTACAGCTTCTTGTAATGTATTGTCAGTAGTTCTGGTGTACATTCAGATGATATCTAGGAGGCCGCTGACTCATGGCCACTTAAGAATACCTAGCACAGAACTGTAGAACCGCACAATCATGTAAGCAATTATTATATCATTTCCTGGGGGAGGAGATCTCTTGGGAGATAAGAACAACAGTTTTCATCAGACATTCACAAGGTGTGAAAAATAGAACATTACCAACAAAATGTTAAACATTTTTCTTTGGAAGAGAATTACATAAATTAATTATGATAATGTGTTGCTCAAGTGCTTGTGACACTATAAACTTTACCTCTGTTAAATTTGGTATGATGATATTTTGTTTCCGATCTTGTCTTATTGGTAAATCATCTCTCTTGGGATCCAACAAGTCTTTAATCTGATACCAAGATCAGATATTCAGTAAAAATATATACAAGTCATGTACACTTAACAATCATGGCAGGTTAAAAATAGAGGCATTGAGTCCTTGAGTTACATAATAATCATACATCTTCAAAAACTTTGTTTTTGACTTCAATTTCAAAGCGAAGTGAAGTGTGCCGAAAGTGAAAGCATGGAGGGGGTTACTAAAGGATGGGGAGGGATCAAAATAAAGATCTCGTATTTTCTGATCTCCTCCTGTCACCCTAGCTACCCTCTAATTACAGTACTACTCAAAAGTAAGTTACCACCCTCTAGCGAGACAAGATTGTCGTCTCACGAGAGAAGACTCTCATCTCGCGAGAGCTCCGTGATGATTTATTAATAATAATTGTCAGAAAAATACTGTGAAGAGTGGTCACCTGTCCCTGTGTATGGTATAATAATATAATGATATATAATAGTATATTAGCCACCTTTTCCTGGTATATCTCCAGGTATGAAAAGAAAACCTTGTATTTCCACTGTGAATTTGAATCCAAGTGTGAATCTATCAGTTTGAACAATTCAGCTGCACATCTTGGTATTAATCCTGCAGAAGTTAGTAGAAAAACAAAACAAAAGTGGAGATTCTATTACGCAGACACATTTTTTATCAGTAATTAAACTGTTATAACCCTATATATCACATGCAAGTACCTTACAGCGGCTTGCAGGGTATCTAGTATCTCTTTATAAATTCATTTAATATTTGATCAAATATTTATTTAATCATGCATTGATCCTTGAACTATGCGCAGTCTTCAAATCAAAATCTATGGAGAGAGGTTCAAAAGACTGTGAGCAAAAAGCCAAGATGTGAGAAGAGACTCAATTTC